ATTTATTTCCACCAAACCAGAGTTGGTGATTGTTGGAAACACTAACAGAGACGGTTTTAATGAGTTTTATTCTGTTTCTGTCCACTTTGAATGAAGTTATGATGTTACGATGATATGCAAGTTAAAATTACCACTTTTTTCTATGGAGTCTGGTGGGGAGCGATATAATGGCTGTTTTTGGTTAGTGGACGTACGTTGACGGGCACTGCAGCCTTTTCACTGCTGCTCTAGTGCGACATCCACTAACAAGTGAATTTCGAATATAAAACCTTTAAGTTATTGTTGTTTGATCCCAGAAGTGGAATTTATTCTCTGTATTCAGTGCATGAGCAGTGGGTAACCACAGTTTAGTTAACATGCATGTTTTTGACGGCAGAGGAAACACGTACACTCCACACAGAAAGACCCAGCTGTTAATGGAAGACCTTTTGCTGTGAGGCGACAGCTCTAACCACTGAGCCACCGTGCTGCCATACATCATCTGACTGCACCTTCTTCTTTATCTGCAAAGGTTTAATAACACCAGACTGGAGAATCAGCGCCACCTACTGTTAAAATCTGCATTACATTTGGATGGAAACCTGCCACTAACCAGCTCAAGAGACACATAAAAACACCATTTAAGCACATCTGCGTCACATCTGCATGCTGCAGATGTTTCACACACACTGATGTGACTGGAGCCCCTTTTTAACGACGCTATTATTCTTGTTTTAGCGGATATGTTTAGCATTTTTTTGTTATTTAAGCCCTGAATTAAAACTGTCTTCCATCTAAGACCGTCACATGCTAACACCGTGTTAGCTTCAGAGTGATTCTTGTGTGACAGTAGATTGTAAAATATGTAAAACAAGGCTTGAGAGACTCCACGATGTGTTCAGTTGGTACAGATATTTAAATATTGTTCTCACCGGAGTCTATTATTATATTTCTATACAACCAGCTGACCTCTGCAGACTACACTGTAACAGTTTGTAGTCCTAAAATACAACTGAAGGCTCACATTTCTCTGGTACCTTCAGGCTATTGCTGAGCTCACGTTACATAAAAGTTTAAGAACGTTTTAAACATCTTCACTGTTCAGACACACAGACTCCATATAGACGGTTTTTAAATCAATTATTTAAAGCTAATATGTCGCCAATTTTCTACAGCCATCCAAACAAACACTGCTCTGTGCCGTGAGACGTTTTGCCGCCATGTGACTTCTGTGTGTCTGAAAGTCTTTCCCTGAAGCCTGGAATTTTACTAGCACGCTAAAAATTAATTTTCCACTTGATTTTTTTTCTCTTTTCAATTTACAAGTCATAAAAGTAATTATTTAAAATGGCTATCCCTAAAATATTCATTAAACTGGTCCTGAAGTGGTCTGTCGACGACGCAGACGTCTGGAATATTGTTACTTTATCCAGGCAATAGTTTCTCCCACGTTAGCTTCAACAACTTTTGATCTTGTTTTTTAGTTTAATGCTAATGCTAGCCTTCTGTTTCAGGCCATACTGCAGCCACACTTTCATTTGTTCTCCTTTCAAGTACAAAAGACTTTGGTTACCAACATCTCCTTTTTCTTTTATATCAGAGCCCTTTCATTTTAACATGGTTCATAACTCTGTAAAACTGGCGTCGCTCTACCTTCTTCACTGCTCCTTCGAGTCATTTTGTGTCCTCAACAATCAGATTTGGTTAATTAAACAGGGAACAAAATGGTTAAAGTGAACACAAACATGCTTCTTTTCTGGTCTTTTTGTCCTTCAACTCACTTCTCTTCTTGCTAAGCTTCACAAAACTTAAAACACTTAAAACTCTAGATCTGTGCTTCGTAAGGCTGGGCAGTGGAGAGCTAACAGGCTATGGCTAAAAAAGGCTAAGGCTAGCCACCAGACTGCCAAAAAAGGCAAATAGTAAGCCAGCTGTCGCTAAGCTGACTGATTTAAAAGTTAAAAAGGTAGCAAAGTGACAGCTAAACACAAAACAAACAGTTGTTTAACAACTAACCACTGGTTAGTTAACAGGTAGATGGTTCAGTTAGGAGTCGACTAATTGTACAGTCATTTGTTCAAATTCACACAAATGTTCCCCCAAACTGAAACCTAACACAAAACTATTTCATGATGACATGAAACAAAGATTAGCAAGCTAATCGTTGCTTTTTTTTTTTTTTGCAGCTGTTGCCTTAGTTTTATCAGGATATACCAGACTTATTTGCCACATGAACCCATTTCATGAGCAGTTACCCTACAAATGTCCGCAGATATAACCTTGTAAGACTAAAGGTCGTAAAAATTGTTTTTGGTGTCTAATCGATTAATCGACTATCAGCTCAGCTAAATAGATTCTGTGCTAAAAACATAAAAAAAAGCCTTGTTCCCTCCGTCAGCACCATGTTTTTGATGTGTTTGTGTGTTTGGAGCTACAGAGTGGTGTGTTTCTGATTGTCTGAGCAGCCCCACAATCATTTCAAACATGTGGTCACTTCTTGTTCTTGCTGCTCACAACGTAAAAACGTTGTCGTCTTTTTTTTTGTTTCAGACAGGACTGAGAATTTGAGGAGTCTGAACGCACCCCAATTTATCAATAAGTTTCCTTCAGCTCGGCTTACATCCCAGCCCCGGCCTTTCTGCACATTTAAAAAACAACAACAACCCCCCCAACGCGTTTTTTTCCACGACTGTGTTCGTCCTGAACGCACTCCAACAACGCTGCGAAAACCAGCGTGAAAAAAACCAAAACGCTCTTCAAAAACTGGACAAACCAGTTTTTATTCAGTTCCAGCTGGTCGCTCGTGAGCACAGCTTACAAACTCCCACCACAGTGAGCGGGGTGCGTTCACTCTCAGCTGACCAGCTTGGGCAGAACCGTCCTAGGCTGGATGTTTCCGTTGGCATCGGTGATCGCTGCCAAGTTAGTCCTGGTTTTGGAGGAGGAGGACGTGGTGGTCGAGGAGGTGGTGGCGAGTTTGGAGATGGAGGTGATGGCGCCGTCGGTGGTAGTGGCGATGCCCCGTTTGGAGGAGGACGAGGAGGAGGAGGAGGTCTTCTCCGCCGAGCTGGTTCCCGTTGGCGGTTTGGGAAGTCGCCTCCTCAGCCACGGGTGGCGCAGCGCCTGGCTGGGCATCATCCTGAGCGCAGGGTCCCACTCCAGACACTGTCTGAGGAAGTCCAAGAACAGCGGGTCATCGCAGCCTTTCAGCACCGTGCTCCAGTCCTTGCTTCCCGGTGGGCCGCGTACCTTCCCTCGTCGCGAGCGGCCGCCGTTCAGCACGGTGGTGCTGTCGGGCAGCGTGGTGACAGTGCAGTACCGCGGGTATCCTTTGGACGACACAAAGTTCTTCGCTCTCTTGGAGGCGTCAAGGAGCTTCTGGCTGGGCATGCCCAGTAGTTCGATGATGCAGGCCAGCTGGTCGGCTTCGTCTTCGCCCGGCAACAGTGGGTAACCGGTGAGCAGCTCGGCCAGGATGCAGCCCAGAGACCACATGTCGATAGGCATCCCGTACCTGGAGCCTGGAGGGGAGGGGAGGGCAAAGATTGGCCATTAACATTAACCTGCTAATAAATACTTTCCATTCCCACTGATAATTTTACAAACTATGCCATCACTTATTTACGTTTAGCAGTTTAAGACCTATTCCACGTCCATACCATAAATAAATAAATAGTATTCTGTAGTTGTTACAGTATGATCAATTAACTTTCCCCCCAAAAAACACATTTAAAAGCTGAAAAAAGCAACTTTATTCAAGTAACTTCATTAATCTAATAAATGTCAAAATCATATTTAAGACATTTTAAAACCTAAAATTCAGATTTGTGGATATTACACTTTTTAAGACTAGCTAATTAGCTAGCATGTTGCAAAATTTAATTTTAATTAATAAACTGTAACTAGCAGGCTAACGATTAATGTAGATGTAGATTAGCTAGTTAGTGTTTTGCTTATCTTTTTTTTATCTTTTAACCATCTTCAAAATGTGGTTGTCTTTTAAACATATTAGCCTAGCATATAGCATATCTAAGTACAGGAAAGGAGGAAGTTGACTGAGGCTTGTCCATCTGTGATTGGAGAATAGAACAAAAAGGGGAGGGATTTAAAAAAGGGTCAGTTGTTACATATAATCTTTACATAATACAAATATTCTAGAAACTATCTGTAGGCAGATTATCCAAATAAAATGCTGTGGAACAGATTTATTATGTTATTCTACCAGACTGATTTGAAGTTAGGGATGCGGATAACAAAACTTTGACCAGAACATAAAGTTGAGTACAGGAAGTCTCAGCAAGTTTCACTTTCATGGCTGATTTGAACCGAAACCTGGTGTCAACCAGAAGCTGCTTTCGGTGTTTTCATGCTCGTTCTTCTTACCTAGAATGACCTCTGGCGCTCGGTAGAACCTGGACTGGATGTAGGTGTAAACTCTCTGATGTTCATAACAGCTGGAACCAAAATCTATGACCTTGGAGAGAGACGGAGAGACGAGGATTAAAGAAACCTTCAGTGGACTTGAAATGCTACTTGAAAGCAAACAGCAAAACTAAGTTTCTCACCTTGATGCCGCTGCGTCCCTGCTGCTTCAGTAAAATGTTCTCGGGCTTGAGGTCGCAGTGGATGATGCGGTTCTTGTGCAGCGAGTCCAGACACTGCAGGATGGAGTGGGCGAACTTCCTGACCAGCGGGAGGCTGAAGCCCTGGAACTTGTTCTTCTTGATGAGCTCGTACAGGTTCATGCTGAGCAGCTCGAAGGTCATGCAGATGTGGTTTCGGAAGGTGAAGTTCTCCAGCATGTGGATAACGTTCATGCTCGAGTCCTTGTCCTGCTTCCTCAGGTGCTCCAGGATGCGGATCTCTTCCGCCGCCTGCCGGTGGAAGCGCTTCTCGTTGCGGACCATCTTCAGAGCGATGTGGGTCTGCGACTTGTGGTCGAAGGCCTTCACCACCTGCAAAAGGGAGGAGCAACAAGATGCTGGTGATGATGATGGTTCTTGACTATCAACAGCTGTACGAGAGGAAGAGAGTCAAGAAATAGAAAGAGCGGGACGAGATGTTTTCAGTGTTTGTGACTTAACATCAAACACACTTCCTTCCAGCTAGTTTAACCTCTTGAAATCCACTCATTCATTCACTCATTCTGCCTTTAATCAACAATAAAATAAAAATAAAAATACTAGCTAGCTAATCAACATCAGTCATTAGCTTAACGTTAGCTAATTAACTAGCATTTTACTAAAGTTCAACAGCTAACTGACATCACAATTTATGGTAAATGGACGTTTTTGGTCAAAGCGCCCTTACAACACTTCTCACATCCACCCACACACATTCATACACTGATGGCAGAGGCTACCATGCAAGGTGCCAAGTGCTCACCAGGAGCGACACAGCGCTTACGATCCAAAGCAAAGATAATAATCTCACCCATTTGCACTCACACACCGACTGCCAGACATTTGGGGTTCAGTATCTTGCTCAAGGACACTTCGACTGGACTCGGGTAGCCGATTACACCCCGATTACTAGATGACCCGTTAATGATTACCAGCAGCTCCAGTTTTCCTCAGCAACGACAGAGAACTTGATCCACGTCCCTCACTCCTCAACAGCTTTATAACTTTTGCTGTTTCTCATTTTGAGTGTAAAAGTAGCATTAATGGTAGTTAACCATCACTGGTCGTACCTGTCCAAAGCTGCCCTTGCCGATGACCTTCAGGACTTCGTAGCGGTAGGAAATGTGGTCGTGTGGAACGTGGATGTAGGATCCCTGATCATCGTCGTAGCCGCCGTTGTTGGCGCCGCCCATGACCCCTGACCTCTTCTTGGCATTCGGACCCACAAAATACACTGAGGAGAAACAAATACATGATCACGATCCGTTTCGTTTACACAGGGTTCGGGTCAACAGCTGTAGCCGGGGCACCCACTCACCTTCAGGGTAGCTGAACACCTCGTGGTGCTCGAATGACGACATCTTGGACATGAACTGCTTCATGGCCTGCTCCGGGGTCAAGGAAGTGGGCTTTGGCTTGCCGTCCGCCGTCTTGTTGGAGGCGGCACTGCCCTGCCGGCAGTGGTGGGCGGGCTCCGAGGCCGAGGTCTGGCGGTCCGGCAGTGGCAGCCCCGACCGGGTGGAGCTGAGCGGAGCCAGGCCGTTGGGCTGGGAGGTGAGGACCGGACGCTTGTTGGTGTTCTCCTCGTACAGCTGGGTGACGTGGACCTGCGACTGCGCTGATAGCTGGACGGCGTCCGACATGGCGGCTTTAGAGCCTCCCTGAGGGGGAAACGCAAAGAGACGTCAGCCAACCTCAGACAATACAAGAGGAGCGATTTTTTTTTCAATTAAACTTTGAGGTGTACATCAGCTGGACGGAGAGCGGAGGATATTTAGGAGGAGGCTCCTTTCCTTCCTGGAGTCCTAACCGGAAGTGGTAAAGTAACGAAATACATATCGTTACTGTTTTCTTCACGTTTCCCCCGACATTAATACACAAATATGTCATTTCTACACCTCATGTTTTAAAAAGAGACTTGTTACTTTAGTTTTAACGCATCTGAGGGAAATTATTGTATATTATTATCATTCATTTTGCATTACTGCATGCCTTCCCAACATGAAATCATCAAAATCAGTGTTGCACATCCCAAATAACGAAGAAAATTATGAAAACAATATAAAGAGATGTAGCAATATAAGCAGCATTCACAATAAAACACAAATTTTTCATGTCATGTTTATGAAGTCAACTTTTAAGTCAGGGTTTCTGCAGCTCCATAAAAAGTCTAAAATGCAATCAAATGAAATTTAAGGCTTTAATTGTCTTAAATTTGAGGATTCAGTCAGCTTTGCCCAAAAACAGCTGGTAAAACGTCCTTTAGATTAAGTGTGCTTTGGTCTATTTGCACAGCCTCACCTCCCTGTAACCTTAAATTGTATAAATAAAATGTAAAAATATACCAGAAATAAAAGAGAAATACTGCAATAAGAATCTGTGGCGAATGACAATCAAACCTCAGGATGACGAACGATTCATTTCACACTTTTGTTGAAAATATAACGTGAGCCAACTTTCAAATCCTGGATGTTGAAGTGCTCTTGAACACAACACAGTAGATTTTTTGCTCTCCACTGTGTCGGAGCCTGGAAGGTAAAAATCTGGATAATTAATGCCCACAAATTAGTCATTTGTTCCCTGAAATGAAGAGCTCATGCAGTCTAATTACCCAACTGTGGCTGACGGACTAACAGAGACACAGCTGTCCTCGCCCGCTCTCTCTCATGTTGTTTCTTTGTCTTTCGCTCAGTGAGTCACTCCCTGTCACCGTGGTGACCAGCACACCTGGGTCCTTTCAGATAACAGAGGTGTGCCGGGTTTCAGTGCGGCTCAGTTCAAAGACCGGCTCTTTACCACAAAATGATATATATGT